GTTTTCGAATCTGAAAAAAATAGACCCGGTTTTATGTTGCAACCGGTTTAAACCGAATTTAAATCGATTTACACCAACCTCTAATACCGCCCATATAATCTATGGAAGGGCCCAAATATTAAATATTAAATATTTTTTTTTTTTCAGAAAATTTCTTATGCATACTATATCGAAATTCAACAATAAGTAAGTTTTGTCCATTAAACGTCTTGTTGCATTTTCTAGTAAATTGAAATTATTAAGAAATTAAAAGACTGAACTGACCCATGGCGATCATATATATAATAAGATCACATCACATGGAAGAAGGTATGTCGTACAGGGTCATGTTGCTCGAGTATTTACAAGGGCTGAAAAAATAAATCTCTTTTTGTATTATATTTTATCAAACAAAAATAATAGCAAATAAACGAATAAAAAATATCTTCGCAATTATTGGAAATATTTAATCGCAAAAAATGGTTTTAAAGAACAATATAGAAAGAACCTTAAGAGACCTGGAATCTAGGATTGAAGAATTAGAGCAAAGTAACGAAGGGTTATGTTCACAGTTCAAATTTTTGGAAGAAAAGATTAGAGAGCGAGATGAAGAGGCCAAAGTCAAGCAAAAAACTATAAATAATTTAGAAGAAATAGTTAGAAAACGAGAATTTGAAACCAAAGAAAACCAACAAATTATTAATGAATTGGAAGGAAGGATCAAAAATCTAGAATCAATTATTTATGATGATACAATTGATAGTTTTAATATTACAGATACTAATAAGGACATATTAAACACCTCAGGTGGATTGCAAAAATGTCGAAATTTGACAAAACTCTATTGTAATAATACTCAAATAAACAGCTTACCAACTTTACCTAACTCATTAATGGAACTTGATTGCAGTAATACTCAAATAAATAGCTTACCAACTTTACCTAACTCATTAACGGAACTTTATTGCTATCGTACTCAAATAACCAGCTTACCAACTTTACCCAATTCCTTAACGCATCTTAGTTGTTACAATACTTAAATAACCAGCTTACCAACTTTACCCAATTCCTTAATGCATCTTGGTTGTTACAATACTCAAATAACCAGCTTACCAACTTTACCCAATTCCTTAACGGCACTTGATAATAGCAATACCCAAATAACCAGCTTATCAACTTTACCCAACTCCTTAACGCATCTTGGTTGTTACAATACTCAAATAACCAGCTTACCATCTTTACCAAATTCTTTAACGTTACGTTACTTTATTGCTATCATACTCAAATAACCAGCTTACCAACTTTACCCAACTCTTTAATGGAACTCGATAGTAGTAACACACAAATAATCGGCTTACCAATTTTACCTGACTCCTTAGCAATACTTTACTGCCATGATACACAAATAAATAGCTTACCAACTTTGCCTATCTCTTTAGAAAGATTTTCATGCTATAATAATAAATTATGTTCATTAGATTTGTCAAATTGCAAGAAAATTAAAAAAATTATCGAAAGAAATACAGGATATCCTGAAATTGGGGAAGCATTTATTGGTAATAGTTTGTTAAATATACTACGTTAAATAACGATATGTTGGGACATATATGAAAATTTTTAAAAATAACGTTACATTAATATTATTATGACCTCAAATATAATGGGTAAATAAAATTTTGTGATCAAGTTTTAATAATATATCGGTATGTATATATTGAGGTCACTGTATTTAGCTAATCATAAATTAGCATTAAATTTATAATTATATCTTAAACATTTGGGAAATGAATGTTTAATTTGGATAAAGATTTTTAAATGAGTTATTAAGAGCAAATTTTAATAGTTATTTATGCTTTAATAATCACGCCTATTCATGACTGATCAGTACAGTAATTATTTAAAAAATTTATTTAGGTCAATCTAAATTTTCAGCTAATCGTATCTTCAAAAATTTCGGAGTGTGGACAATGTAATTATTATATCAATTCTTAAATAAATACAATATACTTTCTACTTCATATAAAAAGTTTGATTTATGATTTATTAGAATTTGTTTAATATTGATGATAATTGCTAATCAAGACCAAAAATATTTTTATAATCTAAGAAATGCAAAAGGATTTAATTTTTTAAACTCCTAATAAAGGCTAAGTTAATTAATTTATTTAAAAATCTGCTCTTTTCAATAGTGTTTTTTAGAAAATCTTGGAATTGGGCTTGTTAAAAAAAAAAGAAAAGAAAATATATAGAAAGTTTCAAATAAAAGTTAAATACCAAAAACATTATAAAAAAATTCAAAACTCAAATTTTTTTAAAGTTATTATTAAAATTAAAAAAAAATTAAGTAATAGGAATGAAGTGATTTAATAATAAAAAAATATATATATATTTTTTGTATATATGGTATGCACAGTCCAAAGCCACCACTTTTTTATTTTGTAGCCAAATTTCTTAGACAATTTTTATGTTACATAAAATGAATTTTATTGGTCAACACATATATATTTTAGTTTATTATATTTTCAGGAATTCGTCTGTATGACCTATATTTTTTATAGCATATAATGCTTCATTCCTATTAATCCTTTTCTATATATATCTATAAATCTTCAAGTTTTATGAGCAAAATACATAATAGTTTCTAAAGCTTCAGAAACTTTTTTTTCCAATCCTTTAAAAGAATAATCACAGTTATTATAGGTATAACATTTAGCAACAACCTAAAACATTTCAATAAAGCTTAATTCACAATGAAATTTCAGATATAAAATAACTTTATATTCACGATTCTTAATAACTTCTCTAACTAATAGCTTCTGTGCTAGAAAATTAGATTAAAGTGAAAGCTTACAAACTGCACAATAATTATCTGTAATGAGAAAATGTTTTTTATAATCAGAGCAAATATGATTAAATTTATTTTCTGACTACAATACACATTCTTTAAAAATTAAATAAATTTTCTTTGATCATTCATCTAGAAGATGCATTAATTACATTGATCCATCAGGCATTAATTTATTTCTAAATATTTCCTTACCTCCTAGTTTAAAATTCATCTTTGATGTAATTAAAACATCTTCTTCATATGCAATATAAGACATTACATTATTAAATGCAAATATTCCAATTTCATTAGGATATAATTTCTTAAAAATTAGAATAGCTTTATCAATAATCTAATTTAATTCATAAAATAATAAATTTATTTTAAATAAATTAAAATTATAAATAAAATAAAAGATTTACTTACATAATCAAATCTTTAGTTTTTCATCAGCTATTACAATTAGTACCTGATTTCATTACAAAATATAAAGCTTCTAATGAATCAAGTCGAATCGAGTTTTAAATATAATTTGACTTAACTCAAAAAATTTGAGTAGAGTCAAGTCAAATCAAAATTTTAAAACTCTGACTTAACTTGACTCGAGTTATACTTAAATTTGACTTGACTCAACTCGAGTCAAATAAAAACCCATAAATAAATTTGCTGATTATATAAATAATAAAATAATAAAATTATATTAAAGTTTCAGAGGCTATTATCTAATAATCTATCGATCAGAATTTCGTGAAATCTACACGATCATGTTTTCTGAGATATGCTTATCAAAATGATATATGTTATATTTTTAATGAATCACTAAACACTGAAATATTCAAGAAATTGTGTTGAAAATTTGATTTTTAACTTTGAAGGCCATTATCTCAAGATCTACCAATCTGAAATTTGTAAACTCTACACCATCATGTTTACCAAGATTTACTCATCAAAATAATGTGTTGCATTTCTAATAGATCACTAAATACTAAGATATTCAAGAAAACATGTTAAAAAGTTCATTTTAAGTATTGTAACCAATATATTTTTAAAATTCTGGGATTGTGTTTGCCACCAAATTGAGTTATACAAGATGCTAAATATGAATATACAGTTATATAAATTCCTAAAAAGATAATTTCGACTGTAGAAAAATTGGAAAATCACTAAAAATATATTACACAAAATTTCCAACATGATAACTCATGAGTCAATTTGACTCATTAGAAGGTCTAATAATATAGGACGCATTTATTTCACCAACGATCATTTCATCGACAATCATTTCACCGACAAATAATTTACCGACAAGATCATTTTACTGACAACTATTCACTGACGATCATTTTACTGACACGATCATTTTACTGACATGATCATTTCACCGATACGATTATTTCACTGACAGTTTATTTTTAATAAATAATTTTTTTATTATAAACTAGTAATAATTAATACAAAAAATTGAACTTTTAATATAATATTAATAACAATAATAATTTTTTCATTTTTTTTTTAATTTAGCGATCATGATGTCATAGCATACAATAATAAAAATTGATTCTTAATTTGGCTAATATCTGATAGATAATATAATATGTGATACTATTTATTGTTCGATATATACATAAATGGAAAAACAAATGCTAATATCGATCAACCTTTAAAAAAATTATTTTTGTCTTTTTTTTATACTGCATCAAAAAGTATATTTGTGAAATTGTTTCCTCTAATCGTAATAAAGATAAAATTAATGTTTATGAATATATAATGCTTAAAGACAAAAATCGAAATCATAATTATTATTAGTATTGTTAATAGCAGTTCTTTGGTGTTTATGGGTTATAAACGGAGTTTTAAGGTAAGCAGAAGGTTTGTGTTTTACTATTTTTACTAATTTAATATAATAATCAGAATTTCTAATCTAATACAATATAGATATCGTATTGCTTGCAATGTCGGCGCTCTATACAATCAGGTATGTTTATTAATTATATCTTTCAGAGTTATTACAATAAAAATGTAAAGAAAAATAATAACGATGTTTTCATGTTTAGGAAATTATCAGATTTTTCAAGGATTGGATGAACTGTTTATTATTTCGGATATTCAATTCTTTGTTATTCATGTTAAAAACTATTGTTAAAAAACTATTATTTTTTTATTAAAGGAAATTCCGTCACTTATATACTAAATTTTTAACAGGATAATTATGATCAGTGAACAATAATGTCCAATGAACAGTAATATCCAACGATCATTAATGGCCAATAAACATTAATGGCCAGTGATCTTCATTGTGCTAACTTAAATTTTGTTAGCTGATTTTCTTATAATTAATAATAGTAATAAAATAATAAGCAATACATATATAGAAACGCTAATAATAAATGCTAAAAATAAAATAAAATGTAAAATAATAATAAATGCTAATAAACTAATAAAATAAAAAAAAACTAATAATAAATGTTTATTTAATAAAATCAATATGTCTTTCAATATAAGTAATATATATAATTATTAAATGTAACAGTATTGTGAAAAATGGATATTTTAAAATGTAGTGGACGAGCAAGCACTATACTAACTGAAGTTCAACATAATCTTATAAAATTTTCTGAATATAATCATGCAGCAGAAGCTAGCCAAATTAAAGTTATTAAAAAGATCAATTTATTGAAAGAAAATGCTCAACAAAATAATAATCAGCCTACACAGGTTATTCAAACTATTGTATCTGATAGTACAAATGAAGTGTATCCATATCTTCCATTACGTGATACACTTTGTCAAACCATTAAATGAGTTCGATATATTGATTTGCCTGTAGAATCACAAACTTTGGAGAATCTTATCATTCCTGAAAATATGAAAAGAACTTTAGATAGGGTTGACTTTTTGGTTAGAAATTAATTATAGGCAATGAAAGATTGTTGATATTTACAACTTCTGCTAATATTAATTATTTAGCACAATCATCTATTTG